ACCGTATGCTGAATGTTGGGGAGGGGATGGGGTCCCCAACGGTCGACGGTTTACTTCAACTCGGTTGGTACGATAGGAGAGTACTGACGCAAGTGGTGCAGCTGGTCCAGCAGCTCCGCCAGAAGGGCTGGTTTGCTCACCCCAGGACTAAGCCTTGGAGAGGGGACGGACCCGTCCTCTCTTTAAGGCTTAGTTCTGAGGTAAGCACCAAATTGTGGCGGTTCTAAGGACCGAGTTGAAGTGGTCCGTCCACCGTCGGGGACTCCATCCCCTCCCCAACATTCAGCATACGGTCCCAGCCGAAGCGCCAAAAGGGCTGGTTTGCTTACGTCGCGGCAGTCTGCTCGCCTGGCATGTTCGGAAATCCGTGGGCCAGGGGGAGTGTAGCCAGTCTAGGGGGGTGGGGGGTGGGGGCAGTCACTTGACATGCGTGAAAAGCTGGAATGTTCGAGTTTACACTGTCTCGCTCGAGAGAGCCCAGGTGAGCAGACTGCCGCGCCGCCGCGTGGCCCCCCCCCCCAACTAAGTTAGCACCAAAAAATCTGCAAAATAATGTTATGGACGCTCATCTTGTCATCTATGCACTGTCTTTCATCGCTGCACACTTTTGTGTATTTACTGAAATATCGACTCGAGGAAAGAGGCATTAACTTTGTGTGACCTCAAAGTCAGGTTCGTTCAGAAATGCACAGAAATCCTGAAGGCACGGGGTTGCGATTTAATCTTGATTCTGCTTGAGTATATCGAAAACAGCCGAGTGTATCAAAGGCCGATTCAACGGCAGCTGCGGCGCGATTGTCACTGGGTCAGATTTGCTGAAATCCCGAAAAAAACCGTCGAAATCTACACCCTCGATGAAAAGGTTGCATTCCTCCATTTCATAACCTTTGAAGCAGTTTGAGGTAGGGTTAGATAGAGCTGGATTTCGCGTTTCCAAGAAGTATTGAAATTGCTCTGAAAGCCTTCCATGCAGAAAGATAGGGTCTCTCAAATTTCGTCGAGTAAACGTCGAGGACGCTGAAATTTTCACGCGAGTTTTTGCCACTTCAAGAGCAATATCTCTCTTAAAACGTGAGATCCTGAAAAAGGGAAGATAGTTTTGGAAAGCGGAAGGTTCTTCTTAGCTTTCTTCTACATTTCCTAGTTGAGAAGATATCTGCGTCGAGTATGTAACGAGGACGGATCCGGCCACCTGAAAATCCGCTCCCTCCTTCACCATTGCAAGTGTAATTGTTGGCAACGCTTGAAATGGGTCTAGAAAACATCCTCCCAACATAAGCAATAGGAAAAGGGGCAATCGTCATCATCGAATTTTGTCTGAGTATAGGCCATGCATCCGACCTCACTCGAAGTTGCAGAATCGATTCGAAGGTGTCATATGATCATGACCAGTTGACAGAAGCTGCATTGTAGTAAACGCATTTCGTAACTCCTACAACCTAAGAACAACTTCATTTGCCCAGGGCTTTTCCTTCACGGTTGTCGTTTTTGCGACAGGGTCCCTAACAACAGTGTCATTCTCAGCGAGGTATTAAGGGAGAAGGAGCGAGCGATAGGCAGAGGAGGTGCCTTTGCAGCGCGTGCGCACATGTGGCAGTCTTCTTTGCGGGGATGCACTTTCATTCTTTGTACTGCCTTCAAATACGCCCTTCTCATGAAGGTGGAGGAATGGAGCGACTGAACCTGCAAAGAAAATTTAATATCATGTTTTTTTCAGATATTTTCATTTTCTGCTGCGCTATACCCTATTACCTATCTGCACCATGATACCACTTCTGTTACTGACCCCAAGAGTACGACCCCCCATGGACCAGCCCAACAGGTACGACCCCCCTGTCGAGGATTTCCTCGACCGATATTCACCCTGGTGGGGAGAGAATTAAAGAAGGAGAGAATGCGGACAGACAACACGAATGATGAAGAGGCTCAACTTCCTGAAAATGGCGTTTGCAAAATATGGCCCAGCACAACCTTGGATAACAAGAAGTTGTGGTAATTTATCGCTATTTTAGATTTTTTTTGTTAGCTCGACAGCCGAATCGTCTAACACCAATTCCGTAAAGATCAGTTGTGGCATTTGCATTCGGATATCGCCAGCTTCAAATCCAAGACTTCCTTTTTGGCCTGGCCTTTTTCTGGCCGGCCCGGTTTTCCTCGAATTTCTGTCGTAGTCACGCTTCCAGTGCCCGTCTCTGTAGTATTGTTAAGAAAGTTATTCTCAAGCGTCAAAAAAAATGCAGTGAGCTTTAGCAGCAGTCTATTTCAAATGAAGGCCCTAGGACCCCTTGAAGAACCACCTATTATCGACAGTATAAAATTCACGTAAAAATTTTGTTACGTCACTCCTGAACGAAAAGTTACCTCATTCAATATGAAATAGTAGGACAAATACCCAGCCTACAAAAATGCAATTATGCTAAAATGCCATACAAAAGCACTTCCATAGTAACGCTTAGAAGGTGGTGAAGTAGTACGCTATACATGCAAAACCTAATATACAGGGGGGGCCAATAAAAAAAAGACATTTTGTCTCCACTTCCAGATGGATTTAAGCACATTTTGCTCAATTCAGACCGAATGGTTCCAACTTATTATTAAAGAGCGCATTCCATTCTATAAGAAAATCTTCATGTGGCCACCTACGTGGACGGCATCAGAAGAATTTGCCCTGGAAACATGGTGCACTGGTCGATCTCAATGGGGTCTTCGAAGGATCGTGTACCATAACGACCCTTACTGGAAAGCTAGTTCCGAGGGGATTTGCACAGTGGTAGCTAATGCCTCTAGAAAACTATCCAACATTAAATCGATTCACGAAATTGCGTAAGAGCTTCAGGCTGAAGCTCTTACGGTAGACCTCCTTGAGCCTGACGACGGTGACAGATGACGTCATATTCTGAAGACGGTGAGGGCAGTGAAGGAGAGCCTGCGTTCACTTATAGAGGGACACTTAGGGAATACTCTGCTGAGGAACTCCCGTCAACGACAGCAATCTCTGCGAAGAAAAAAGAGCCGAAGTCCGACATAGGCAAAATGTCTTTTTTTTTGCCCCCCCCCCCCCTGTAAGTTTCCATTGAAAGAACGTGGGGTATGCGCTTTTGGCTTACTCGTGACCCACCCAGATTCACCTACCACAATCATCTTTGCACAAAATTCCGTCGATGTATTTCGGGCAGAATGAAATCATGACACTTATCGAAAGCTTTGAAAAACATTGAGTTGAATCGTGACCTATCTTTCTAATGAACAAAATCTACACCCCACCGACTGTTCACTTCAATCTTTCTTTACGCAACCGCGAAATATCGCTGAGAGAGACTCCTGTCGATGCGCTAATGAAGGAAAGGCAAGCGACTCTTGGCGTTGAGTTGTTGTTCACCCATGTAACTGTAAAACAAAATTTGACGCCGACTGTCCGTCCGACGATTCCGCATCAGCGCTTCCCGATCGGAACAACCTGTTTCTTATATCGATCATGTGTAAGTCGGCGAGGCCATCGAGGTCGTCGCCGTCAAGGCATAATTCCGATCACGGTTTTCAACGTAGGGAGTACAGAACCGCCTCACTTTCTGAAATATTGGAAATCCTTTCATTCTGTCATGCTTCTTCTCATTTCCTGAGGGTTCAAGAATATCAACTTTTTGACTGCTTTTTAGCTTGAGATGTTATGCTTCCGTAAAAGTTCGATGTTTAGTCGCTCTCTTGAGGAACAAAATCTGAAGATGGTGACCGCACTCACACTCGCAGTTTTAGTGGTTCTACACTGCGTCCCATAATTATAACTCCACCCAAGAATTTCCCAAAATCTCACAAATTTAGATGTTTTAGAAAAAGTCTCCAATGTGGCAGTGTGTCAAATACAAATACGAAATCGCCTGTAAACATCAACTTCCAACTTGAGATCCCAGGAATTTTTTCTAATAATTTTTGTTCAAAAGGCCACTTGGCCAACGTCCCAAAATTATAACTCCACCTCATGTTTTTCTATTATTTTTCACTTCCGTTTCGCCAAACTTTTTTAATGTGCTAACATCCTACTTCTCAAGGGGACAGTATGATAGAAAATGCTGTCTGACTTTTTAAAAGGTCAGGTCGTCGCAAAAACTACTAATTAGGCAATCGCACAAGATTTTGACCAAATTCACGAGGAGCTCGAGAATTTTTCAGGGATTTTACATGATATGGAGTTGAGAAGAGCTCCAAAGGATCTCCCCTTGCTTTTCGGTAGAAACAAAGGCCGTGTCACAGAAGAAACATCCTTTTTTATGAAGCCGTGCTCTGCCATCAAATCTTCTTCGGAACTTAATGGCTCAACGGAACAATGTTTTTTGCTTGCGAATAAGTCCCAAGTTGATTCTCGAGTGGAAAACGTGGAAGGCATCATCTGTGGTAAGAAACCATGGCGGAATTCTTGCTGAGTTTTCCGGAAAGGTGCATCCGAGCCGACTGTAGTAAGGTTCGCTCTTACTTGCGATTCATTACTGATTGTCTGTCTTTCTCTTCGGCATTTTCTTTCTCCTGGTAGTGCTTCGCGAAGAGAAAAGCTACTAAGGATGAGAAAAGCACGAAAAGAAAAACAAACAAATGCTAAAACATATCGAGCAAAAGCGAACCTTACTCCAGTCGGCTCCGTTGCATCTTTCTGTGAAAATGGGCTCAATTTTCGCCATGGTTTCCTGCCACAGATGATGCCTTCCACGTTTTTCCACTCAAATAAGCTGTAGCTAGAATACCTCTGATTTACCTGCACCATGTCTAAGATCAAGCCAAACCCTAAGCCTCGCGCAGCTCTGGTGACCTGACCTAAGGAGAGAACTGAACTTCTGCCCCTGGTCTGCGCCACTCCGCAGATCCAATGATCCTCACTAGCAGCAGACGCGTAGCACTCAACAGGTGTCCCACATCTTTCCGTTGGTTTGTTGGCATTACTCTGAAAGCTAACGCAAAAAATGACCGGTAACTTAAATTGCCAACAATTGCTGCTGGGTATTACTTTTTAGATAAACAGATAAAAATGGGAGCGAATTTCGTCGTCTATGGGGCTTGGCATTGCCTTGTCGTCAGCGATCAAGACAATCAAGTAAGGATTACCAGGGAAGGGGTAAGTAGCTGGGGCACTCACAGTGAGCTCACCCCACAATAACAACAACCTATAATAGTAATACTCTGAAATCTCATAGATATTTCTGCCCCAGATAAGTATAGTACTTGCAAATAGGAGTGCTACAGGTGTGGTGTGTGCAGTGTCTAACTTGTTGTTTATTTTTTGGTCCTCGCTTCTTTGTTCTACTTCGTTGTTTGTTTGTTCTTTACTGTTTTTCCTTACAGTGTTTTGTTTTTTAATTATTGTCGAGCGAAAAATGGTGTGGACGAGATGAAAAGTGTACCTCTGCCTGTGAAAGAAGGCGCATTTATCTGTAAGATTTCATCGCCTTTGACTTTCAAAGGCGCTTCTAGAATACGAGAAGTTGCTATTTTTGCAAAAGCGAGGGTAGGTTCCATCCACGGATTGAAATTTCATCAAAACAGTCAATTTTAGCTGGATTTCCTCTCCTCTACGTCTTTTTTCCGGCCATGATCTTTTCTTAGCTCAGAGCCCGAGCCTCGCAATGTATATTATATGTGACTGAGTGAGTGCTTTCCGAGGTTGTGTGAAGAGGTGATCGCCAACCATAACATTACAGTAAATTGGTATTGAAAGGTGGCTATATTTTCAGCGCTTTTGAAAGATGAAATGGTATTTCATCAACATCACTGCACATTCCCTTCTAACACCGAACGGAATGATATTTTGTAGATGTAAAGGCTCAAATATAGAGGCGTATTGGCTTTCTGTTTTGTCAAGAAAAACTTGAGAAAAATACTACGGGAAAAAGAGAAGAAATGCTGCTGTGAAAAATCGGCGCTTTCCTGAACGAGGGACGAGGGCATTGTGATGGTAATGCATATAAAAGATCTCCTTCCGGTGAAGCTAGTGCTAGGCTTTAGGCGGGAGAAGAGGGAGTCTAGAGTATGT